AAAACAGGAAAATACCGCCTTGTAATCCACTTATTTCAGCAAAGTAACTGTAATCCAATTACCACTCATTGAAACAGTAACTGTAACGGAATACAGTTACTCATAATTTGTACTCTGATTACGTAACGGCGGTACATGTAATCTGTTACTCCCCAACACTGCACACACACACACACACACTACACACACTATACACACACACTATACACACTATACACACACACACATACACACTATACACACTATAACACACACACTATACACACTATACACACACACACACACTACACTATACACACACACTACACACACTATACACACACACTATACACACACACTATATACACACACACTATACACACACACACACACTATACACACTATACACACTATACACACACACTACACACTATACACACTATACACACACACACACTACACACACACACACACACTATACACACTATACACACACACACACACACACTACACACACTATACACACACACTACACACACTACACACACATACACACACACACACACTATACACACTATACACACTATACACACTACACACACACTATACACACTACACACACACACTACACACACATATACACACACACACTACACACACTATACACACACACACACTATACACACACACACTATACACACTATACACACACTATACACACTACACTACACACACACACACACACACTATACACACACACTATACACACACACTATACACACACTATACACACTATACACACACACACTACACACACACACTACACACACTATACACACTATACACACACACACACACTATATACACACACTATACACACACACTACACACACACTATACACACACACTATGCACACACACACTACACACACTATACACACACTATACACACACACACACACTACACACACACACACACACTACACTACACACACACTATACACACACACACACACTATACACACACACACACACTATACACACACACACTATACACACACATACACACACACTACACACACACATACACACACACTATAACACACACTATACACACACACACACACACACTATACACACACTATACACACACACACACACTACACACTACTACACACACACTATACACACTATACACACACACACACTATACACACACACTATACACACACACACACACACTAATACACACACTATACACACACTATACACACTATATACACACACACTATACACACACACACACTATACACACACACTATACACACACACATATACACACACTACACACACGCACACACACACTATACACACACACACACAGTGACCCGTACACACACACGCAGACCTGTACATACACACACCAACATGACACCACATGAATGTAAACACACCGGATTGTAGCTTAAGGCTCATTTCCATCTGTTATTGCACACTCCATTCATTGCACAGATTCCATTATTGCACAGTCCAAAATATTATACAGTCCAGTTATTGCACAATTCCCATAATTTTGCAGTCACTTTATGCACACAGGAGCGAGACACGACGACAACGACAACAACAACCAACAACCTACAACCTCCTCTTTTTGGATGAATGAACAGGTGAAATGTCACTGAAATAAATTTGAACTAAAAATGTTTCTTAATTTATTTCCAGTTAAAGACAAAAGTAAAGTCTGAGCTTGAATCATTGTTTTTCACTTTTATCTTTGCTGCCACTGGTTCAGTCCTTTATTCGTTTTTTCCATTTTTCATTTAAACACAAAATCAAAAACTTGAAAAAACAAATCTTTATCTGTTTTTTTAAATTTTGGTTTTGGAGACAAATAATGAAGTAAACTGTTATTTTTTTTTATGTTTTATTTTATTATTTTTAGTTTTATTTTGAAAAACAAATGAACAAACGACACACAGATTCCAGACACGTGATGAGCCTCCAAGAAATTGACGTCCTGTGAGAGAGGGACCCAACAACTCACCCTTATGTACCAGATAATACTCCCTACAACTGTACAACTCACCCTTATGTACCAGATAATACTCCCTACACACACATTTTTTCATAAAATGTATTATTATTATACAAACAAATTATTATTATATTATTAAAACAAACAGAAAAAAACACAAAAATATGAACATTTATAAACCACATTGAGACTGGGATTATTCCACAGCCAAAGAACACAAGAAAACATGCTAATGATGCTAATGATGCTAATTATGCTAATGAAGCTAATGATGCTAATGAAGCTAATGATGCTAATGATGCTAATGATGTTAATGTTCCGGTCTTGAACTGGACCATCTCAGGTCTGGACTCGTCTCAGTCTCCGCTGGGGCCTCTCTACAGCGCCGCCTCTGGCCCTGACCTGAAACAACAGGCACAAAAACAGGTCAGAAACCAGAACTAAACCAGGACTAAACCAGGTCTAAACCAGGACTAAACCAGGACTAAACCAGGTCTAAACCAGGACTAAACCAGGTCTAAACCAGGATTAAACCAGATCTAAACCAGGTCTAAACCGGGTCTAAACCAGGACTAAACCAGGTCTAGACCAGGTCTAGAGTCAGTACCTTGCAGTAGTAGTAGTACATTGGGAGGATGTACAGGAGCTTCAACAGAAGAATCACCACGACTCTGATGATCAGATCTGAGTCTGACTCTGCAACACAAAAGAACCCAGATGAGACCAAGACCAAGACCAGGATCAGGACCAGGACCAGGACAAGGCCGTACCTCCCACAGAGAGCTGGAGTGTGTGGCTCTGAGAGGAGAAGTTGTGGTTGAACACCTGCAGGAGGTAAACACAGGTGTAGTTTCCTTTGTGGGCGTGGTCAGCGTCAGAGAACAGGAAGTGGGCGGAGTGATTGACGGCGGGCAGGGTGCGGTTCTGAGCGGGGGGCGCGGCGGGAGAGAGGAGCCGGAAGGAGCCTCCCGGGTACTGTGGCTCCACGGAGCATTTGACCCTGAACTTTGAGCCCAGCTGCACCCGCACCCCCTGAGGCTGGAGCTCGGACGCCCCGTCACTCACAGACACGGAGATGATTGGACGATTCAGGATGAAGTCTGTGGAGACACGTGATTGGACACATCAGTCTATATGTGTCTGTGTGTTTGTTTAGACATTCTAGGTTTATAAGCTGTTTTCACTAGAGCCCGACCGATATATCGGTTGGCCGATATTATTGGCTGATATGGGCACCTGGAGGCATACCGGCTATCGGCCGATATGTTTGCTGATAGGGGCCGATATTTCATGTGGGCCTGTGATACGTCGTTAAAAATCTTAGACTCTCTACATTCTGTTCATTTAATCCAATTTACAGACAGATAAATGTCCAAATATGTGACTCCACATCAGTATTTATCTGTGGAGTCATTTGTCTGTGTGTGTCGTACTGTCCCTGAACACACCACAGAGTCACGTCTCTCACGTGTGTTTGTTTACACCTGCAGACACAGATCCAAACATTGAGATTATTTTCTTTTTACGGACAATCGGTTTGAGTCTGGATTAAAAGGACATTTATTAGTTCAGACTTGTGATGTGGGAGGAGCCTGTGTGAGTCTGAGTGTTGAAATATGGCGACTCTGAAGCTGTTTTGGTCATTTGTTAGGGGTTAGCTGCTGTAGCTCCTGCACATAAACAGTCTGTTTTCTATTGGTCTATTGTAAAGTGACTTTATTGTCTGTATATTTGTTACTGGAGCTGCATTGATGTAAATGAGCTGTGAACAGACGTGTGAATTATGACATTTGCACATATAATTAATTACCGCGGCACGCACGTATTTACGGCTAAAGGCTAATAGCGCTAGGTTCTTTACTAGTTATGGGTCCGTCGCGATCGAAGCGGCTCTTAGATCCGGCTCTTTGAAGCGAACGACGGGAGCCTGATCCTTATTGGTAGTTGTGTTTTGTCTTTCTCTCACTTTGTTTCACTTCACGCCTCGTGGAGACTTGTGGTAGTTTGACAGCGACAGCGACTGAAAATGAAACTTTGAGAAATTTGCATGTACATAGGATAAAAAAACAAACAAACTTGCATATTTGGCTGTAGTTTAGCGTAAAATAAATAAACCAGGACTAATCTTGGGCACGAGATAGAGACCGAGTCCCGACACTCAGTCCTGGTTCAGTTTTGGTTTAGTCCTGTTTTACACGTGGTCTAGATCTGTTTTAGTCCTGGTTTAGTCCTTTTTCAGTCCTGGTTCAGTCCTGGTTTAGTCCTGCTTGCAAAAAAACAATCTGAAGAGCCGCTTGGGAGCCTAAAGAACCAGCAGCTTTTAGTGAGCCAAGCCAAAAGAGCCAGTTCTCTAAAAAGAACTGGAATACCCATCACTAGTGTCTAGAATGTGATGCAAAAATGCCATTAAGCCAACCTACTGTCTGTAAATATGATGTAAAGAGGCAGAATATCAATAAATGTTGCCTAAATAAACCCAATTTAAAATCCACCAGAGCCAAACCTAAGTTATAGTTATACTAAATATATCAGCGATTATATCGGCAGCTCCAACTCCCATTATATCGGTTTCATATCGGGCACAGCAAAATCCATATCGGTCGGGCTCTAGTTTCCACGCTTGTTGATTTACAGTATTGTAGCTGTTTTTAATCAGTTTGACTCGGGTTTTTGATTTCTTTACTTTCGGTCCTGTTTTGTTATACTTTGAGTTTGTTTCTTTGGTACCACTGGCATCCCACCGTTTTTGTTTTTGTACAGCCTGATGCAGGTTTTGGCTTCACAATAAAAAAGCCAAACTTCTGACTCCCTGTCTAAATGATTGTGTTATAAAGTTATGTCTTTTAGCTAATAAGGAACGTAACAGGACGTCACACATTTTACACCCGACACTCCTCTGGAGCAACTAGAAAAAACATCTGAGAGATCAGAATTTTACCTGAACACAGCACGTCCACACCCCCGGGAGTGGAGAAGCGGCCTGTACCATAGACACATCGTCTCACTGGAGACTTCTTCACACAGTCAGGTACGACCCACCACACAGGAATCCGTGGAAAATTATCGCTGTGTTTTCCATAAACAGCAAAGCCACAGTCCAGGTCTCTGCACACTGCATCTGTAGCCTCATGGTTCCAGAGTCCAGAGGGTCTCATCCGTCTCCACTCTCCTCTGAGTCTCAGCTCTGCCGTCCCAGCACAACGACTGACTCCTCCCACCAACCTGATCGGCTCTGAACAGACAAGAGACAGAATGAAGCCCCGCCCCTTTACCTGAGCACTGAAGCCCCGCCCCTTTACCTGAGCAGTGAAGTCCCGCCCCTTTACCTGAGCAGTGAGGCCCCGCCCCTTTACCTGAGCAGGTGAGGTTGACAGTGGCTCCAGAGGAGCAGGTCCTTGAGTTGGAGCGGGGACAGTCCATCAGAGCAGACTCATGTCCCTCACAGTGGAACGTCTGCCCCAGAGGAGAGAGCGCCCCCTGGAGGAGAGAAGGAGCCCCACAGCCCAGCTCCCTGCACAGCACCTCTGCCCCCCGCTGGTCCAAGTCCCCGTCACAGACCCCGGTCCAGGACCCGTCCCAGATCTGCACTGATCCTGAACACAGACCGGACCCCGAGACCAACCGCACCGAGTCTGTGGACACATGTGACATCATCAGTCTGAACCAATACGACGCACACATGTGTGACATCATCACTCTGAACCAATAGGACGCACACATGTGTGACATCATCACTGTAGTGCAGATATCTGTGGTAAATTACTGTTGTGAGAGATTGTGTGCGTGCATGTGTGTGTGTGATACAGAGGTGTGTGTAGTGTCTAATGTTCTAATTCTGACTTGAATAAAATAAGAAACCACACCCCCTCCTTGAACCGTCACCTCATCGTGGTGGAGGATTTGAGCCCAAATGATCCTGGGAGTTCTGTTGTCGGGGGCTTCATGTCCCTGGTCACCCAAGGCAAACAGGTCCTGGGGGACGGGTCAGACGAAGAACGGTTCAGAAGCCCTTTATGAAGACGTCCACTCAGAGGTCACTTCGCCCTGAATGGCTTCACCAAGGCCCCACCCTGGAGCCAGGCCTGAGGTGGGAGCTTGACAGCTAGCGTCTGGTGGCCGGGCCTTCCCCCACGGGGCACAGCCTGGCACAGCCTGAACAAACAACATGGGGACGCCCTTCTGTGGGTCCACCACCTGCTGGAGGAGCCATATGGGGCTGGTGCGGAGAGATCTGGGCAGCAGTCGAAGGCAGGGGCCTCGACGACTGGATCTCCGGACATGGAGACTGTGGCTCTGGGGACATGGAATGTCACCTCGCTGGGGGGGAAGGAGCCTGAGCTTGTGCGGGAGGTTGAGCGTTACCGACTAGATATAGTCGGCCTCACCTCCACGCACAGTTTGGGCTCTGGAACCCAACTCCTTGAGAGGGGCTGGACTCTCCATTTCTCTGGCGTTGGCCGCGGGGAGCGGCGGCGAGCTGGTGTGGCTCATTGCCCCACAGCTCAGCCGCTGTGTGTCGGAGTTCACCCCGGTGAAGGAGAGGGTCGTGTCCCTGCGCCTTCGGGTCGGGGACAGGTCTCTCACTGTGGTGTCGGCCTACGGGCCGAACAACAGTGCAGAGTACTCGAGTACCCGGTCTTCTTGGAGTCCCTGGGAGGGGTACTAGACAGTGCACCGCCCGGGGACTCCGTTGTTCTACTGGGGGACTTCAACGCCCACGTGGGCAATGACAGTGACACTTGGAGAGGGGTGATTGGGAGGAACGGCCTCCCTGATCTGAACCTGAGTGGTGTTCTGTTATTGGACTTCTGTGCTAGTCACGGTTTGTCCATAACAAACAACATGTTCAAGCACAAGGGTGTCCATAAGTGCACGTGGCACAAGGACACCCTAGGCCGGAGGTCGATGATCGACTTTGTCTTCATGTCATCTGACCTCCGGCCACGTGTCTTGGACTCGGGTGAAGAGAGGGGCTGAGCTGTCAACTGATCACCACCTGGTTGTGAGTTGGGTTCGCTGGCGGAGGAGGAAGCCGGAAAGACCTGGCAGGCCCAAGCGTGTAGTGAGGGTCTGTTGGGAACGTCTGGCGGAGCCTCTGTCAGAGGGACTTTCAACTCGCACCTCCGGGAGGACTTCTCCCGGATTCCGGGGGAGGCCGGAGATATGGAGTCTGAGTGGTCTTCATTCTCAGCCTCTATTGTCAATGCGGCCGCTCGTAGCAGTGGGCGTAAGGTCTGTGGTGCCGGTTGCGAAGGCAATCTTCGAACCCGGTGGTGGACACCAGAAGTAAGGGCTGTCGTCAGGCTGAAGAAGGAGTTCTATTGGGCCTTGTTGGCTCATGGGACTCCTGAGGCAGGTGATGGGCCAAGCGTGCTGCAGCCTGTGCGGTCGCAGAGGCAAAAACTTGCAGCTGGGAGGAGGGACTATCCGGCAGCCTCAAAGAGATTCTGGCAAACCGTCCGGCACCTCAGGATGGGGAAGCAGTTCCTCACCAACACTGTTTACAGTGCGGGGGGAGAACTGCTGACCTCGACTGGGGACGTTATCGGGCAGTGGAAGAAAAACTTTGAGGATCTCCTCAATCCCACCGTCATGTCTTCCGAGGAGGAGGCCGAGGCTGGGGACTCGGAGGCGGACTCGTCCTTCACCCTGGCTGAAGTCACTGAGGTGGTTGGAAAGCTCCTTGGTGGAAAGGCTCCGGGGTTGGATGACATCCATCCTGACTATTTTAAGTCTCTGGATGTTGTGGGTCTTGGCTGACACGCCTCTTCAACATCGCGTGGCGGTCGGGGACAGTACCTCTGGACTGGCAAACCGGGGTGGTGGTCCCTCTGTATAAGAAGGGGGACCGGAGGGTGTGTTCCAACTACAGGGGAATCACACTCCTCAGCCTTCCCGGTAAGGTCTATGCCAGGGACTGGAGAGGAGAATCCGGCCGATAGTTGAACCTCGGGTCCAGGAGGAGCAGTGTGGTTTTCGTCCTGGTCGTGGAACACTGGACCAGCTCTACACTCTCCATCGGTGCTCGAGGGTTCATGGGAGTTTGCCCAACCAGTCCACATGTGCTTTGTGGACTTGGAGAAGGCATTCGACCGTGTCCCTCGTGGTGTCCTGTGGGGGGTGCTCTGGGAGTATGGGGTCCAGGGTGTATGTGTGTGTGCGTGTGTGTGTGTGATCTAAACTCTGATTGGACGTCTCACATTTTACACTTGACACTCCTCTGTAGCAAGTAAAAATAAAATCTGAAAGACATAAAACTGTAAGATCAGACTTTTACCTGAACACACCACCCCCACCCCCTCTGAGGAGGAGAGGCGTGAACCAAAGACACATTCTCTCACTGGAGACGTCTTCACACAGTCACGTCTGACCTCCCACACAGGAATCCGTGGAAAACCATCTCTGTGTTCTCCATAAACAGCAGAGCCACAGTCCAGGTCTCTGCACACTGCAGCTGCCACCTGCTGGTCCCCGACTCCAGAGGGCCCCATCCGTCTCCACTCTCCTCTGACTCTCACCTCCACAGTCCCAGAACAACGACTGGCTCCTCCCACCAACCTGAGCGGCTCTGAACAGACAAGAGGCAGAGTGAAGCCCCGCCCCTTTACCTGAGCAGTGAAGCCCCGCCCCTTTACCTGAGCAGTGAAGCCCCGCCCCTTTACCTGCGCAGGTGAGGTTGACAGTGGCTCCAGAGGAGCAGGTGCTTGAGTTGGAGCGGGGACAGTCCATCAGAGCAGACTCATGTCCCTCACAGTGGAACGTCTGCCCCAGAGGAGAGAGCGCCCCCTGGAGGAGAGAAGGAGCCCACAGCCAGCTCCCTGCACAGCACCTCTGCCCCCCGCTGGTCCAAGTCCCCGTCACAGACCCCGGTCCAGGACCCGTCCCAGATCTGCACTGATCCTGAACACAGACCGGACCCCGAGACCAACCGCACCGAGTCTGTGGACACACATGTGACATCATCACTCTGAACCAATAGGACGCACACATGTGTGACATCATCACTCTGAACCAATAGGACACACACATGTGTGACATCATCACTCTGAACCAATAGGACACACACATGTGACATCATCACTCTGAACCAATAGGACACACACATGTGTGACATCATCACTCTGAACCAATAGGACACACACATGTGTGACATCATCACTCTGAACCAATAGGACACACACACATGTGTGACATCATCACTCTGAACCAATAGGACACACACATGTGTGACATCATCACTCTGAACCAATAGGACACACACATGTGTGACATCATCAGTGTGAACCAATAGGACACACACATGTGTGACATCATCAGTGTGAGCCAATAGGACACACACATGTGTGACATCATCAGTGCAGTTGTCTCCTGAACTCTTGAGCTGCAGACTCTGGTGTGAGGAGGATGTTTCAGTGCTGAAACACTGGTTCACAGATGTTTCTTCACAGTCGTCAGAAACAGTCACGACTTTTCTCTCTGGACCAGTTTTACTCTCCACAGACAGAGCAGTGCCACAGTCTAGCGCCAAACACAGTCTGACCCCAAACCCAAGAGTCACAAACAATGGACCCACTGTGGTCCAGACCAGACCAGGTCTCTGAACCTCCACCTCCCCCTCACAGCGACTGGATCCTCCCACCAACCTCACACTGAACCAGTCTGCAGAGAAGAGACACACAAGAGGTGATACACACACACACACACACACACACACACACACACCACACACACACCTATACACACACACACACCTATACACACACACACACTACACACACCACATTACACACACACACTATACACACACACCTACACACACACCTACACACACACACACATACACACACACACACACACACACACTATACACACACACACACACACCTATACACACACACACACACACCTACACACACACCTATACACACACACCTACACACACACACTATACACACACACACACACACACACACACACACATACACACACACACACACACACACACACACCTATACACACACACACACACACACATACACACACACACCTATACACACACACACACACACACACACACACACACACACACACACACACACTATACACACACACCACACACACACACACACATACACACACACACACACACACACTATACACACACACACACCCTTACACACACACATACACACACACACATACACACACACCTATACACACACACACCACTATACACACACACACACACACACATACACACACATATACTACACACACACACACACACACACACACACACACACAACACACACACACACACACACACACACACACACACACCCACACACACTATACACACACACACACACACACACACACACACACACACACACACATACCACACACACACCACACACATACACACACACACACACACACACACACAACACACACACACACACACACACACACACACACGTACACACACACACACTATACACGCACACCTATACACACACACACACACACCTATACACACACACACACACACCTATACACACACACACTCCTCTGAGTGAGCAGGTTGTGGGTTCGACTCCTGGTCTGTGTGTGTATTGTTGCTTCTTACCTGCTGAGCTGTTGATTTCTGCCAGGACCCCTGCACACAGGACCCCTGCACACAGGACCCCTGCACACAGGACCCCTGCACACAGAGTTCATGTTACAAAATGTGGTTTGTTCTGAGTTTTACATCAGTGTCTCCAGCCCCGGGCGTTTGGTTCTGGGCCACATAGAAACAATAAATAACTTCTATTATTTCTGTTTTATTTGTTTTCTGTGATCTGTTATGTTGTTATCTATGATGTTATCTAAGAGTTCGTCGACGTCCATGTCATGCACAGTCCGTGACATTAAACTGGGCCATGGTG